CTGAGGCGAGCCCAAACAGCGAACCCATCAAAGTCGACGTACCGACGACGGACAGCCTGGGGCAGCCGCCGAAACGGCGAAAGTGTACCTGTCTGCCCGTCAACTGTACCCATCGTCGCTTTCTTGTGATGCTCGCCGTCTGCCTCGGCATGATTGTGATGAATTCCATGCGGATAAGCATGTCATTGACGGCAGTAATGATCGTCGCGTCAAGCAAAGACGGCGGCCAGGCCAGCTCGTACGAAGCGGAGTTCGGCTTTGTCCTACCCAGAAACAACATGACCGGCTCAGGCGGCCTTCGCGGGCCCAACGTCAAGTGGAGCCCATTGTTGATTGGAGTACTGCATGCCTTCTTTTTCATCGGCTTCCTGGTAACCCAGGTCCCAGCAGGCTTCCTCACCACGCATATTTCTGCAACAAGGTCAGTATGAGCTTAACTAAAGTCAGATTATATATCCACCTTTTCCTAAATTCCTATACCAGGAATCCCGACTCTCCGCCCATTTCTGTATCCAACTCCTATCCCCAACAATCAATCGTTCAACTAATCAATACGTCTTTGCATCCTCTTGATCATCTTTGTGTCTATTTACCTATTTATCCATCTATCTATCTATTTATCTATCTACACGTCTATATATTCATCCGGCTTTGTAGATATGCCTTAATTCTAGTGCTATTTTTAAGAATATTTAATTATCCTTATTGCACTAATCTATTAAGTAATCCCTCGGTTTGCCGGCCCACTGCAAAAATTTATCTGTCATTGTATTTTTATAAATCAACCTATCCGTCTCTATGCCCATCTAATAATTGATTAGGTATGGGGCTTCGCCCTCCACTTAGATGATATTTACCCACATATTTTGCCATATAAATCTATCTACTTTCGACTCAAAATCTAGCTACTAGGCTTTAATCCGTCTATCAATTTATTTGTTCGTTGGTCGTCCATGTTTGCACCCTAGCAATAGTTTCTACAATCGGTTCAAAGCTATCCACATGTTACCAAGGCTGGGACGGGGAGATTAATTTTTTGTGAAAGGGATTTTGTTTCATCCAGTAGGATTTTTTAATGTTTTCCCACTAATGAATTATTTTGCCTAAGCGGTAGTCACATAATTCTAGGAGCTCTAATGGCATACATTTATATCAGAAGTGATAGTGAACTTTTAACTAGCTCTTAGTACACAATTTTTGTGTAAATAAAGCTGAGCCACTAGAATTTTTCGGTCCAATTTTCGTGTGAGAATGTCGGTCTCTGTCTACACCAGGAGGGCTTCCCAGCCTGATCTCGATGCTACCACCAGGCGACTAAGTAAAATTCCCATACACCTGTCATCCAATGGGCAAAGTATTTTCTCGTCAAGTCGTTCGAGCATTATGGCCTTCGACTTGATATATCCTTCTACCGCTACGCCCAAGATAAAATCCCTTGTCAGCCTTGACTTATTTACTAGATTCACCGGAAAGTGACTCTTTTAACCCACTGTTTATCGTCTGCCCAGACGTTCTTTGTTCACCTGTTTACTCCGTTTTATTTTAGTTTTTAAGTAGGTTTTCGGGGGTAGCAGTGACTCATGAATAGTGACTCATGAATATTTACCCTATTTCGTTTAAGGTGAGGTGAAGCTGGTGGATAAATGTTTCCACAATGCTATGAGTAAGGCCCACTTTACCATTGAATTTCCCATAGTAAGGCTATATATGCTCCGTTTCATGCCCGGTTGTCGCAAGTCGAGCCTAATCTCTAGATTGGATTTCTTTTAAAGAA